TGCTGTCTCTCGAACCTTTGTAATTGTCTAAACCACCTGATTTGTTCTTGATATGTCCCTGGTGTTAGGGTGTGCCAAGACCTGCCTGTTTCAAGAGAGGAATCTCATTTACACCGAGTTTCACGTTGACTGGAAGCACACTCTTAGGCAGCAGCTTTTAATGTATAAAAGTATAGGGGTGCCTCGGTGGCTCCGTTGGTTAAGCGTCCGACTTCGGCTCAGGTCATGATCTCACGGTTCGTGAGTTTAAGCCCCCCGTCAGGCTCTGTGCTGACAGCTCAGACCCTGGAGCCTGCTTCGGATTCTGTGTCTCCCTTTCTCTCTGCCCCTCCCTGACTTGTGCTCTCTCTCTCTCTCTCAAAAATAATTGAACATTTAAAAAAAAAAGTTTTAAAATATAAAAGTATATATAGTCCTGTGGGGCTACAATCATAGTCCCTGCTGCCTCCAGACCAGGAGATTTAGAGGTGCCCCCTGGGTGGCAGCTGTAAAAAATTGGGGTTCCAGATAAGTGTAAAAGCTCCTTTCTCAGAGTTGAGACCTGGAAGGCCGAGGGGGTGTGCAAGGATGGTGTGCCCCTGCTTAGGTTCTCTGGGAGCACCTCCTTCATCTATATATGCATGGGAAACCCGAAGCCTGTCCCTTAGACTGAAGCTCCGAGCTAAGTACATAGGCCTTTTTTCCAGAAGACGGGCTGTGTTTCAGTCTGCTGTCTATGCAGTGCCCTGATGGTGGTGGTCTGCCAAGAACTGTGTTAGCGTTCCTGTGGAGCTCAGGATTGTTGGCCACTTCGGCCACCAGGGTCAGGTGATTGCGTGGTGGCCCCTGTGTGGACTGCATGCACCTGCTGGCGTTAGCTAGGCAAGGTGTACGGGGCAGGGCATGCTTGCTGGCTTCAGACAAGCAGGGGAAAATGTCTTGACTATACACCTGTGGACTTCAGGAGTGTCGTGGGAGACCTTCTTGTCTGTGCACGCATGCTGGCTTTAAGCCGGGAAAAGGACAGCCCGGCCAGTGGGGGGAGTGCTGCAACTGTCTCCACTCCCCAGCTTTATCTAGGGAGTGAGAGGATGCCATGGATGTTGTGCTTGCCTGCCCCAGCTAGGGAGGGGGGCAGTGAACCCTTGTGTGCTCTCCAGCTTCCTCGAGGCAGTGGGATGGTATGGTGACCGCTTGCCGCCACCCGTCTTAGCAATGCAGGAGGAGGGTGCCGCCTCTGAGCCCACCCACTGGTGCTAGCAGGGTAGGTGGAGAGTGCAAAGTTGGCTTCTGCCAGCACCTCTGTCCCCGGGGAGAGTTTCAATGGTCCCTTGCTCTCCCAACAGATGTTCTTAGATTATCAACTGGTTTCTTTTATAGCCGTGGTGCTTTTCAAACTGCTATTTTTCTGCTGGGTCGTGGGTAGAGCGAGACTGCATGTGAGTTCCTTAAAAGGGGAATCTCGGTTTCCTATAGCACTTCGGGCCCCTTGGATGTCGGCCCTTTGCATTTTTTAAGCCAGATGTTTTGGGGGCTCGTCTCTCTGGGTCAGGTCCCAGGGACAGGGGTGTCTTAAGTGGGACACCAGCCCATCGCTTTTCTGGGAGAAGCACTGGACTGGTGAGAACCCTCACTGTTATGCTGCAGTGTCGGGGTGGGGTTTTGGGTGAGACCCTATCTCTGCCTCTCCCACCCATCTCAATGCGGTCTGTCTTTTGTTGTGGAGAAGCAGTTCTTCCAGTTTCAGATCTTCCTCAGAGGGAAATGACCCATGTGCACTTATGGGTTTCGTGTCTGTGTGGGATGGGCTGAGTTCTGCATTTTCCTACGCTGCTATCTTGGGAGAAGAGCCCCACCCGTTCTAAAGTATTTCCACAGTTTGATTTTGACATTATTTTTGATCTCTTTGGAATTTATTTTGCTATGAGAACTGATATACACACTCAGAACTGTTTAGCCAGTCACCCCAGGAGTCAGTCACATACAAGGATGTAGTGAATGCCCATCATGTGTCAGACACGATGTCAGGCCTTGGGGCTCCATGGTTTCCTGTTCCTCTTGGGTAACTGGGCATTAAACAAGTTATTAAAAATAGTAATCCAACCATGGAAGTATTGGGAAGAAATTCAAGGAGCTCTGAGGGCAGCTCAGGGGAGGCTTTCCTAAGAAAAATACCATTTAAATGGAGATCTAAGGTTTGAACTGAAGTTAAGAAAATACGAAGTGGTGGTGGGGGGGCACCTGGGTGGCTCGGTCGGTTAAGCATCCGACTTCTGCTCAGGTCACGATCTCAGCTCATGAGTTCAAGCCCCGCGGCGGGTGAGCTCGAGCCCTGCTTTGGGCTTTGCACTGACAGAGCAGAGCCCGCACAGGATTCTCTCTCTTGTCCTCTCTGCCCCTCGTTCATTGGCACCCTCTCTCGAAATCAATAAAAAAGTTACAAATAAAGAGAAGTGGGAATAAACTTTGCAAACAGGAACAACAGAGCATGGTGCTGTATGGCTGGGGTGTAGAAAGCAGTAATAATAAATATAATAGCAAATGCATATATATCGCTTATGTGTTAAGCATAGTTCTAAGAGATTTAAATATATTAACTAATTTAGTCCTCAAAAACACCTGAGGTAGATTACTATTATTCTCACTTTACAATGAAGAAACTCAATTTTATGCAAAGGGAAGTAAACTAATTTGCCCAGAGCCACACAGCTATTAACAGATAGAGCAGCATTTGAACAGTCTTCCTGGGCCTGAGTTCTTAACCACTGTGGTATATACTACAGAGAAAATGGGACAGCTGGAGGCTGGAAGAATGGCTGGCCTGAGGGCAGTCACATTTTACTTGTGCTTTTAGGTCACCTGTCTATAATGTGAAAAATGAACTAGAAATGACATAGGTGTGCTGTTTCAAGGAGGCACATGCACCCCAATGTTTATAGCAGTGCTTTCAACAACAGCCAAAGTATGGAAAGAGCCCAAATGCCCATCGATGGATGAATGGATACAGATGTGGTGTGTATACACACACACACACACACACACACACACACACACACACACACACACACTGGAGTATTATTCAGTGATCAAAAAGAATGAAATCTTGCCATTTGCAAAAACGTCGATGGAATTACAGAGTATTATGCTAGGCTATCTGAAATTAGTCAGAGAAAGACAAATATCATATGACTTCACTCATATGTGGAATTTAAGATACAAAACAGATGAACATAGGGAAGGGAAGCAAAAATAATATAAAAACAGGGAGGGGGACAAAACAGAAGAGACTCTTAAATACAGAGAACAAACTGAGGGTTGCTGGAGGGGTGGTGGGAGGGGGGATGGGCTAAGTGGGGGAGGGGCATTAAGGACGACACCTGTTGGGATGAGCACTGGGTGTGATACAAAGGGGATGAATCACTGGGATCTACTCCTGAAATCAGTAGTGCACTACATGCTAACTTGGATGTAAATTAAAAAATAAATTGAGTAATTGAAAAAAAAATGACCCAGGTGGATGCAGAGAGGTCAGTCAGGAGGCCCCTGCAGTAAGTCGAGTGGGAAATGAAGCTGGTCTGATAATGACAGTGGTGGAAACAGAAGCCAAAGGGATGGAGGAGGCAGCAACTAGTGACTAACTGGATGGGAGGGGTAAGGAGAGAGCGGGGAAGACCTCCAGGCTTCTGGGTCACTGAAAAGTACTTTGGTAATTCGTTTTTTTCCTACTGATTTAAAATATCTACATTGTATACCCACAGGCATATGTCTTTGGGTTTGTATTCTGACCATTCTATTTCTCACTACACCACTTCATTATCCCTCTCATTACCTGCATTTTCCAGAATGTTCTTATTCCCTCTCATGTTTATTCTTCTAGATGAAGTTAAGGACCATTTTGCAAAGTTTTTGAACACCTCTTACCTGCATCCACTTCCTCTCTAACCACTATCGCCCAAAATCCACCCAAAACCCAAACACGCCAAACCCAAACCAATTTCTCAGCCGTTGAGTTCTGACCCAGACTGTATGGAATTCACAGATTGATTTCGTGGGACCTGGCCACTTTACAGTGCTCACTATTCCTAGCTAAGAATAAAGCGTCTCTTTTTATGTATTCCAATCTTCTCTTATGTTCCTCAGTTAAAATTCGTGGTTATAGTTTCTTTCATGTATGTTCTTTCAAGTATTTTCGTTTTTGGTTTTGAATTTGTCTATCTGTGCCTAGTTGACCCCCAATGTTGCATTAGTCTCGGGGAACCACAGGGCTTCAACGTCTCTGTACATTATGCCACGCCCACAAGCATGGCTGCCACTTGTCGCCGTACGACCCTATCAAGAAACGACTATGTTCCCCATGCTACATATTTTATTCCCTAGACCTTTAGAGTCTTAACCTTTACTTTTCGTATACCTTAACAACTAGTCAGTTATTAAACATTCAGTGCCATTAATATAAGCCACATCAAAACACATTCTACTTCATGCTTCTGGTATAGAGTATGGTATTTATTTTAAAGGGTAACATTTTAGGGGCGCCTGAGTGGCTAAGTCGGGTAAGGGTCCGACTTCGGCTCAGGTCATGATGTCACGGTTCGTGGGTTCGAGCCCCGCGTCGGGCTCTGTGCCGACAGCTTGGAGCCTGGGGCCTGCTTCCGATTCTGTGTCTCCTTCTCTCTCTCTGCCCCTCCCCTGCTCTCACTCTCTCTCCTAAAAATAATAAATAAACTTAAAAAAATAAATAAAGGGTAACATTTTATACCATATTAACTGTGTTGATTTACCTACAATATTTGCTTTTGGAACTTACTAACCATGTTTATTAAAAGCCAGTGTAAATCTGGCCACTTAAAACACGGTAACTGCCTTCTGACTTCCTACAGGATAGCAGCGCATTGCTTCAAGGTGTTTGGACAAATAAAGTTACTGATAAGTTTCCCAACTCTGTCCGGATGTTTATGTAACAAATAGAGAAGCTACTGTAAATATCATCTGTCTGGAAATATGAGTTTATCTGCACATACCTGGCACTCCGTTTCATTGGCTGTTGTCTTCAAATCATCTTGTTTACTTATGATCTTCTGCAGCTGGAAAGATGGCAAACATGAATTCAGATGTGTATCTACTGGACTTTTCAAAATAGTCTAAGAAAAAGATACTAAGTTTTCCTTTTAAAACATATACGAGTCGTTAAATATTAACTTAAACTCCTTCTGCATTATAGCTAATAGTGTTATTTATTTTTTCTTAAATCAGGTAGGAATCGAAGGAAAAACTGATATGCAAGTATTAATGTTACCATTTTTATAATTTGAATCATTTTTTCCTCCTAAGAAAGCTAGTTTACTCAATACATACATATTCTAAAGATATCACTCTATAAGAATTTCACAATTATCCTCATTCTTCAACAGAATTTTCATTCATAATTAATTTTTGTATCATTGATAATTTATGGCCACATTTTCAAGTATGTAGCTCTTAAAAAGCCACTTATATCATACAAATGGTCTTCTTCCCCATATGCACTCATAAAACATGAAAATAATTTAAAAACCTACATTTCTGTCATTAATAAAATTGTCAATAGTACCTTGAGACTGAGTACATTTAGAAACCTACCTTTCAGAGTCATTTGTACCAATCCTCAAAAGGAAAGCAAATTAAAAAAAAAAAAGGTTTAAAACAAAAATTAAATGCAGACAAAATCTGAAACTATGGATTTGAACGGATTAGGAGACAAACCTTCACTCATTTTTTTCCCCTAGGCTACTTCTTTGTTAATAATCTGAAAATTGGTAAATTCCAAATTAATCATCTCAAGTCCGGCTGCCTCTATGATGTTTGTTTTAGGTAAACAGTTTATCTCTAAGTCCCTCAAACTTTTCCACATCTCCTCCCTCATACTTATCTTAGAGAAAAAGTGCTGAAAAGTCTTCATTTGTTTTACCCTTACTTTTTAAGCTGACAATCAAACAGTACAATGCTTACTGCACTACCTGAAAAAATTTTTATGATGGAAAATTTCAAACACAGCAAAGAGAACTCTGTAATAAACCGCACATTATTCACCTTCAACAATCATCAGGATTCTGCCCATTCCCAATTCCTTTTCAATTGTTATTTATAGCTCTTGAGGAAAAATTTATATACGTTGAATGTACAAATTATGGCCATACAATTTTGACAAGTGGATATACCTGAGTAACCCATCCACCTACCCTGGTATAGAACATTTCTTTTTTTTTTTATAATTTTTTTTTTTTTTAATTTTTTTTTTCAACGTTTATTTATTTTTGGGACAGAGAGAGACAGAGCATGAACGGGGGAGGGGCAGAGAGAGAGGGAGACACAGCATCGGAAACAGGCTCCAGGCTCCGAGCCATCAGCCCTGAGCCTGACGCGGGGCTCGAACTCACGGACCGCGAGATCGTGACCTGGCTGAAGTCGGACGCTTAACCGACTGCGCCACCCAGGCGCCCCATAGAACATTTCTATTTTCTCAGAAAGTTCTTTGTGTCTCTTCTCAGTCAATCCTTTCTCTCTTCATCCCCACAGAGGAATATTAGAGTTCTGATTGTTTTCCTCCATCTAAATGAGTTTCACTTATTTTAGAAATTCAAATAAATGATATCAAATAAATGATAGTATGTATTCTTTTGTGCTATCAACCTTCTCTCTGCATAACGGTTTTGAGATTCATTTACGTTTGAATAGAAGTAGTCTGTTTTTATTGTTGAGTTGTGTCCCATTGTCTGAATAGATCACTACTTGTCCATTCACTTGTTGGCAGATGTTTGCATTGTCTCTAGTGTTTGACTACTGTGAATCAAGCTCCCATAAATTTTCTTTCCCCACCACCCCCGGCTTTACTGAAGTATACTTAATATACAAAAAATTGCACGCATTGATGTATAAACCTCTTGATGAGTTTGGACACATGCATGCATCTGAGATACATCACCACAATCAAGGTAATAAACATATCCATCACTTCCAAAAGATTCGTGTCCCTGTTTCCTTTCCCCTTGGTCTAAGAACACTTAGCATGTGATGTACCTTCTTTTTTTTTAAACTTTTTTTCATGTTTATTTTTTTATTAAAAAATTTTTTTAACGTTTATTTATTATTGAGAGACAGAGCATGAGCAGGGGAGGGGCAGAGAGAGAGGGAGACACAGAATCTGAAGCAGGCTCCAGGCTCCGAGCTGTTAGCACAGAGCCTGACGCGGGGCTCGAACTCACAAACTGAGATCATGACCTGAGCCGAAGTCGGACGCTCAACCGACTGAGCCACCCAGTTGCCCCTTCATGTTTATTTTTCAGAGAGAGAGAGAGACAGAATCTCAAGCAGGCTCCAGGCTCTGAGCTATCTGCACAGAGCCCGATGCGGGGCTGGAACCCACAAACCGTGAGATCATGACATAAGCGGAAGTTGATGCTTAACCGACTGAGCCACCCAGGTGCCCTTCTTCAGTTTTTAAATGTACAACACCATAGTCTTAACTATATGCACTACGTTTGTACAGCAGATCTCTGCCATACACTTTCTTGCATAATTCTTATTTTATGTATGTGAATGTATGTTTTAGTATTTCTCTTGGATGAATTCCTAGGAGGGGAACACTTAATTCCTTCTGAACTCTAAGTTATTAAGTGGTAAGAGTTCTTTATATATTCTGAATGAGTCCTTTGTCAGATATATGTTTGGAAAATATTTTCTCCCATCCTACAGTTCGCCTATTCATTTTCTTCCTTTTTTTTTTTTTTAAATTTTTAACATTTATTTATTTTTGAGAGAGACAGAGACAGAGTGTGAGGTGGGAAGAGACAGAGAGAGGGGGGAGGTGTCTCCAAGCTATGCCTACATACGGTGCGAGCAGGGGTCGTAACTATTTTTTTCATATACATATCCAATTGTTCTAGGGTCATTTATTGAAAAGACCTTTTCTTTTCTATGAACTGGGTTGGAGACTTTATTGAGAATTAAGGACCATCTAAGTGTCGGTTCTTTATTATCCTCCATTGATCTACTTGCCCATCCTTAAGTCAATATCACACTGTTACCATTACTGTAGCTTTGCAATAAGTCTTAAGTCAGGGAGTGTGAGTTATCCAGATTTGTTCTTATTTTTCAAAATTGATTGCAGTGTTTTAGGTTCTCTGCCTTTACACATCCGCTTTAACATCAGCTTGTACTTTCTACCAAAAAAAAAAAAAAAAAAAAAAAAAAAAAAAAAAAAAAGCCTGCTGGGATTTCGCTTGGGAAAGTTAAATCTTTAGACCAATTTGGGAAGAACTGACATCTTAACACTACTGAATCTTCTAACCATTTCCATGGTATATTCCTCCATTTATTTAAGTCTCTTTGAATTTCTGTTGGCAATGTCTGAAGTTTTTGGTGAATGGTTTTTGTTAAATTTGTTTCTACTTACTTTATGTTATTTGATATCATGCAAAGTAGAACTGATTTTCATTTCATTTTCCAACTATGTTACTAGTATATGGAAATACAATTGATTTCTCCATATTGATCTTCCTAAATTTGCTTTTAGTTATAATAGGCTTTCCTTTTCTTGTTGATCACTTAGAGTTATCTACGCACAATCATGTTATCTGTGAATAAAGTCAAATTTACTTCTTCCTTTCCAATCTTCTATCCCTTTTCCCCCAACCTGTATTGCTATTATCATTAGAATCACCAGTAAAATGTTGAATAGAAGAGATATGAAAATACATCCTTGCCTTCTTTCTGATCATAAAGGGACAACATTCCATATTTAATCTTTTTTTAAAAATCTTTATTTATTTTTGAGAGAAGAAAGAGAGACAGAGCACGAGCGGAGCAGGAGCAGAGAGAGAGAGGGAGACACAGAATGTGAAGCAGGCTCCAGGCTCCGAGCTGTCAGCACAGAGCTCGACGCGGGGTTTCAACTCACAGACTGCGAGATCATGACCTGAGCTGAAGTCGGACGCTTAACCGACTGAGCCCCCCAGGCGCCCCTGTATTTAATCTTGTATCATGATGTCACCTTTAAGCCTTTTGTAAACGCCCTCTATCAGACTGAAAAAGTTTTCTTCTGTTTCTACTTTGCTGAGTTTTCTCATGAACGTGCTTATTCTATTGAACGCTTTATATGCATATAGTGATAGGGTCATGTTGATCTCTACGTTACTGTCAATCTGATGGATTGAGCTGAGTTGATTTTTAATCATTCAACAAATTTCTATTCTCTGCATAAATATCACTTGATTTTGGTGCGTTTTTTATATAGTATACAATGTGTCTTGCTCTAAGTATTTTGTATCTTTGTTTATGATGAAATTTGGTCTATAATTTACTTTTCTTGTTAGATCTTTGCCGAATTTTAGTTATCAGGGATATGCCAGTTATGAGAGGGAATTGTTCCATTTTCTTGTATTTTCTGCAAGACTTTGTGAAAATCTGACACTTCTTCCTCCTTAAATGCTTGATAGATTTCACCAGTAAAACCATCTGGGCCTGAACATTTCTTTGTGGGAAAGTTTTTGATAAATTAAATTCATTTGTAAAGGGCTATTCAGATTTCTATCTCTTACTTTTGGTAAGTATTTTTTTTTTTCTAAGGCATTTGTCCAGTTCATCTGAGTTATCAAATTTACAGTCACATGTGAATAAGCTGTTCACAATATTCCATTTTAGTCCTCTGATATTTGCAGAATCTGTGGTGTTATCTTCTTTTCATTTCTATCATTGGTAATTTGGACCCTCTTCAAGTTCTAAAATTAGATCCAGTACTGAAAATTATTCAAAATTTATCATACAGGTAACAATTTAAAAGTAAAAACAGATGTTACCCATAAGGATTATACTTTTTAGTACAAAACTTAAAACATTTCTTTTATTATGACATTTAATATAGCTGTTATCATCTTCACACAGTCATTACATAGTTACAAACAAAAAAAAGCAAATAGGATTAGTTCACTGAAATGAGAATTTTTTAGGAGGCGTATTACAATATTGGCTTGTTCCAATATGGTGGGGAATTTAGAACAATAAGGGTCTGTCCTAAAGCACAAAGCATAAAGATAAAGCTTGCCATATG